GCCAAAAGAGAGGCCAGCGTGGGAAGACAGGGAAGGGGCAGAGAGGAGCTGTGTCCCCGTCCACCATGGACAGGCCTTGCAGATGTTGGTCAGGTCAGGCTGGCCCTGTGGACCTGGCTCTGGATCCGGGTCCCTGAGGGTGTTCATCAGCCCCACAGAACCTCTAGAGGCCACTCTGCAGAAGCTGATGACGTACAGGTGTTAGGGAGAAAGGATGTCCTGAGCTAATTCCATGCAGGCTTTGTGGACGCCACCCCCACTCCAGACCAAAGACATCAGGACATTGGGAAAGACACATCCCATCACCACCAAAGGGAAGGTGGCTGGAACCTGAGGGTGGGGTTAAGCAGCCAGGTTTGGTATAAAACCAGACACGTGGGCCTTGGAGGGCTCGCTCTCTCGCTCTCTCGCTTGCCTCCTGGCTTCATGGCTCCTGGCTCGCAGCCAGCTCTCAGAGTGCCATTTGGGATTCCAGATCGGCGGATCGGGTAGGATGCATTTAAAACTTTGTCTCCCATTTTCCTCCCTGAGCTGTACATTTCCTCATTTGCCCTTCCCTTGTAAATAAACCTTTTATGAACCTTTCGCGTGTGCCTGCAGTAGAGCATTGATAAGTCCTTTTAAGCGCGCGGGTGAGGACCCACAGTCAAGCACCCTGTTTTGTATCGGGGCTGCCCTATAACACAGGGACAGACACCACAGAGCCGGGGTCTCAGGGACGCAATCTGTGCATGGACATTTTGCTACTTGGCACCTAGCAAAATACTCTTGAATCTGGATGAGGTTTGCTGTAATGAACTCTGGAAATTGCTTTGTCTTGGTGTGAGGTTGCCTGAGTTCTCGCAGGTTCTTCCTGGCCTCCTTCTGTCTGGAATCCTTCCCAGCTGGTGCCATCCCAGACAGCCTTGAACAGGGCAGGGGGAGAAGGCCACAGACAGGAAATTCTTTCACTGGACCTGAAATCCCTTAAGGCTGTACGTCAGTCCTTTTCCTCTGTTTTACCCTGTGGGAATGGAAAAACGGTTCATCTGGGCCTCACCTGTCAGGTTTGACTGAGCTTGCACCTGGGTTCCTGTCTCGGGCCAGAGGATCCTTGGGGTGCAGACTTTGGACTAGTTCTTTTTCTCTGGGACCTATAACTTCAAAGACCATCTCCAGTGTCATGTTCACTCTACGAAATTACTGGAAACTATTACAAAAGTGTGTGCTTCATTCACCTCCAAAGGCGCTGGTGGGCTCTTAGTTCTGGGGCCACTTAAAATAAATGAGGAGCACATTGTCCTATTTCATCTTTATGCCACTGGATGCTGAGGCTGCTCCCCAGTCTGTACAACCTGGATCCAACTTCATCTAATGTCCTCAATAGCCAAGGAATGAGTGGTGAGGCCGAGGGGATGGTGATGGGGAATAGAACTGATTGTCAGGTTTCTAGCTCCAAAGCCAGCTTTCTGTCAAGTAATCCAAGCTCAGGCAGGTTGATGTGCAGTGCTCTGGAATGGTGGTTGTTCAGACAGATGATAGTTTGATGCACTCACGTGGCACTCAGATGCGGGGAGGTAGGGGACAGGGGTGGAGCTGGATCCGCAAAAGAGATTTCCTCTTGCCCAGTGAGCATTCTTTCTGAATGAAACATGGAAGATGTGCCCAGGACATATCAATAACAACATCAATTTTAAATACTAAAGTCAATGGCAATCCAGGCAAAGCAACTGTCTCCTACCCTAAATTGAGCTGAATCAACCCAATTGTGTGCGTTGGGATTAGGGTGGGGGTGGGTGTGGGTGGGGGCTTGCTGGCTTAGGCCTTTGGAGAACCTTAAATTCAGGATAGACCCAAAGGCTGCCCTGAAGGTATGACTTCCGCATCCCCTCCCTTCCCCCCAGGGCGTTGTGTTCAATACCAACCCCATTAGGTAACTTTCCGGGGTCTGAAATTACACTCTTAGAAAGTCATTTCTTTGGCCTAAGCTTTTGCTGTAAGAATGCAAGTGTCCCTGAGAACCCTGGAATATCTGTTCCTTCCAGAGAGGAGGGGTTGAGGACACCTGCACAGGTGGAGGGACAGCAGGTAGGGGCGGCCACGCCCCTCTCCCTGAGGAGAACATCTTGGGAGCTGGGATAAGGCAGAGGGGATGATGTGATAAGCACAACTGTGGAGGCCTCACCATTGTTCAGCGTGATAGTGGCTCCCTAAATTAATTTTCCGTGGGCAGGGTCATTATCATTTACGAGTAGGGTCAGACGACAGACTCCGTGGTTCTGTGAGCTGTGGGATTACCTGGACTGGAGGTGGACAAAGTAGGGTCTGTGCTTGGCTCCACCCCACAGCAGCTGGTGGCTCGGGGCAGTTCTAACCTCTGAGTTCCAGTCCTTGCTTCCCTCGGCTGTGGTGTGGAGGAGCCACAAGGGCCCCAGGTTGTGCCTGTTAGGAGCGCCTGGTGCTGGGTACCTTTATGGGCTTGGAGAAGTGGGTGGCAGATGGCGGACTCTCAATAATCCCCCTTTTCCCGTCCATTTCACTTTTATATACTCTAGAGTGGGTCGGGCCCTGTGGCCTTAACACGTGGATGCCAGTGCAGGGATGGAGTTGAGGAGGGTGGCTGGATAGCACTTGATCCTGGGCAGGAAAGACCGTGGACTCCTCAGGGACTCCGACTGGGTCAACAGTGTGTGATGACGCTCATTAGTTACGGCAACCCAGAGGTCTTGCCCTTCTTTTTTTGCTATTCTTGTTGGATAATTCTGGAAGGTTTTGAGCATCTCTCCTCATGCTGGACGATGCAGACACTTGAATGTGGATTCTCTCTGAGTTAGAAATGATTTGATGTTGTGTCCAAGGATGCGCCAAGGCACAGCAGGGAAGAGCTGTGAGTGTATCTAGAAACTCTCCTTCTTTTCATACAGCAGTAATGAAAGTAAGTCATTTTCAGGCCCAAGTACTTGTGTACTGATTAGAGTCACTGGTACCCAACAGAAAATGTGATAGTGTTTGGATTTCACATTTTAGCCTTTTTGTCCAGGATCTAACTTTTCTTTTTTTGAAAAAAAAAAAAAAAGATTTATTTATTTATGCATTAAAGAGCTGGGGTGGAGGCCAGAGGTGTGGGGGAGGGAGAGGGTGGTGGTAGTGGTGGTGAGAGGATTCATCAGAGACAGAGTGGGGAGCAGAACAGGTGGACTGACTGAAACACACTGCTGAGGGGAGCAGCAGACGGGTCAGGAGAGGTCTGCTGTGGGTAGCTCCCTGGCTGGGAGATCAAACTCATGCTGCAGTGGCTGCAGATAGCTTCATAGTGCTGAGACTTTAACCCCTGCGCCACCACAGAGGCCCTGATCTAGCTTTTCATCTCTCATGGGACAGCTGCCAGCCCTCGGCTTTTCTCTGCAGGTTTTGGGGACCTCGCTTTGCTTCCACGTGCCTTTGGTCGGTGTGGACTGTCAGAGTCCTGGGCATCCTCTGCTCTTGCAGGAAGTAAGGGTGACATTAGGAAAAGCTAGTCCAACACTCAGCAGAGACAGGAGAGGTTTTTGTCGTGAATCCTTGGGAGAAATAAAGGAAACCCAGGGAGGGAACCCCAGTCCTCCAGCAAAGAAAATCCTGAGAGGTTTTCTTGTAGGCAGGAGAGTAAATGAGACTCCTGGGGGGATATACACAACTGCTGGTGGCGATGCCCAGAAGCCACTGGAGACCCCAAATTTCCTAGGGGGCATTCAGTTTCTCAGCTGTGATTTCCCCCAGGGGAGTTGCAGGGACCTCACTTCTGAGTTGGGGGTGGGGAGATGCTTTGTAGGTTTTGGTCCATGTCCATAGTCTGGTATTGTGCTTTGTCCCCAAAATGGAGATGCTTTTTCTACTGCTTTGAAAATCATCATCTTCATTGTCTGTTTCTCCTTCCTCAGCTTTCTCTGAGCAATTCACAGGAGTTATCTCCTTTGGTCATCTTTTTATTCCAGAGGCAGTGGTGCAATTTTGGAAGAAATAAGTGGTATTTGTTAGAATCATCCATACTATTCTGTTCAGAATTTTCATTTGGTATTAAAATCACATACTAACCAATGTGTGTGTCATCACAAAACACTTCCCTTTTTTTCCTTTTCTGACATTTCAAAGTCACTTTTCTTAATGTTGTTAAGTTTAAAGGTTCAGGGTTTTTAAGGGTTATTTTCCTCCCCCTCCCCCTAGGACTGTCTTGCATCTTAGAATAATCCATTTCAGATGCAAGTTTGCCCAAATGTGATTGTTGATTGGTATTTAGCATCTATTTGTGTTCTGTCATATGGCCATGTTACATCGTAAACAGAGAGATGTTGTTTGGCAAAATGTTATGTTTCATTTTGGTCATATTGGAAAATCAACACCACTTTTATGGAGCTTTATAACTGAAGATGAAAATGTAACTGTGCATTTAATAGCTGTTTTTTTTTTCTTCTGGGACAAAATATGGAAGCATGGTAATTAGCTATATGCAGATAAACCCGAGGGTCCCTCCCTTTTAAACTGTTGACGATCTTCGTTTGGTTTCTTTGTGGAAACAAAAGCATCACTTCCTCCCTTTAGATCCAGTGGGTAGTCTCCTGGTCATCAGAGTTTTATGTTATTCTTCTCAGAGGTATCCTGCTGTACCATGCGACACACTCAGAGCTTATTTAATACATAAATGCCTCTGGAGAATATGTCAAATTACTAATTGGTTATTCTTGTACTAGCAAGTCACCATAATCAAGCCAGAGAATGTCTAGAATTTATTTTGATTTGTTTCACTCTTGGTTTAAATTTACCACCCACAGTTATCCAAAATACATAAAAGCTGTGGGTTTGGTGTGTTTGTTTTACTGTCATACTGTAACCATGTCCAAACACGACTGCACTTAAACTCATTAGGAACAGACAGATTAAAAGTTATTTGCTCTTTAGCTAACAATATCCAAGAACATTGGGGAAAAAAATTCCTTTGCCCCATCTGCCATTCCCATAAGTTGATGGTTGCGCTGTTTGCATAGCTGACCACCCACTGAAGCCAAGGCATGTGAAACTGCTGTCCACTAAAATGGGCCTGAAAGTCACGTGGGACCCACCCAAAGATGCTGCCAGTAGACCGGTGGAGCATTACAACATTGCCTATGGGAAGTCACTGAAAAGCCTTAAATACATCAAGGTGAATGCGGAGACACTCTCCTTCCTTATTGAGGACGTGGGTAAGTGATCCCTGGTCTTGTCCCCAGTCGGAGCTAACTGTACACCTACCTGCTCAGTCCTGTTCTCAGGACGGCTGTTTGTGGAAGCGACACCTTCAGACCCCAGGTACAAGTGGCTTCTTGGAGCAGGTCGTCAAGGCCGTGAGCCCGTTCCTTAGCCTTCGTTTTGCCCCTGGCTTTTCCCTCCAGCGTTTGAACTCTGGGATCCCTGTTCTCTCTCCAAACTGATGTAGGAAACAGTTTTTTTTCATTTCTGAATGTAAGTTTGGAAAACCTAGGGATTCTTTTTTGTCTCATTGACACTTGACTGCTCAACAACTTAGGAGCCTAACATTGAGATTTCTCACCTGTAAGCCACTTTATGATGGGCGTGGCCAGGCCGTGTCCTGTGAAGGTGTGTGTGACAGGTCACGCTGAGCCACGTCTGGGTCAGAGATGGAAGTCACAGCCTACCTGTTCAGTTTGGTTCCAAGTCTGGAGGGTTGTAAATTTCCCATGTATTGTTCCAGAAGTGCAGGTACAGGTGCCTTGAATCTGAGAACTTGAGCTGCCTCCTGTGGATCCACTGTTCTGGGTTTTTTTTTTGACCCCGGTAGGCTGAAGCTCCATTTGTTCTACAACCATCTCCTGGCCCAACCTTATCCGAGATCCTAAGGAGGTAGCAGAAGTCAGCACCTGTGAACACCAGGTCCTCCTTCCCCCCATTCCACTTACTCGGGGCCACCGCAAATCACCCCTTCTCCTCCTCTGCCCCCACCCTCAATGCCGGGCCTCCTACCTCATTGTAATGGAGCAGAGAGTGTGTGCAGAGGAGATAAAGGGGGTCAGATTCCCTTCCTCATCATTCCAGCTAGACACACTGAGTCTCTTACCTATCTCTGGGGCCCCACAGAACCCAGTTGTGGGGTTCAGCAGAGACCCCATGGGATGGAGGCAGGAGCAGCATTGTAATTGCTTGTTACTATTGCTGCAGAGAAGACACACATGCAGAAAAGGGGCCGCAACACTCCCTGAAAAACAATTAGTGTCTCTAACCGAGACCGAAGCACAGCCATGTGGACTAAATTCTTTGAAACGTGCATAAACTCAGAATAAAGAGAGAGAGCGCCTGGCGAGGCATGATGCTGCATTGTCTGAACCCAGTGCACTCCCCATTTTGTCTGGCAGGTCGTGCCAGCCCCTAAGTGCCACCAGGCCCTGCCACCATCAAACAGAAGCCACCCCTGTCCCGAGTGCTCGGGCCCCAGTTGGAAGTTCCTCCTTGTTTTGAGAATTACTGTTTTTGCCTCTGACAAAACTAACTCTCACCTCTCCCACCCTCATGCCATGAAATGCATGTCTATCTCCTCAGGGTGCTGGCGCCTTCCCTGGCCTGGCACCAGATGGCTGTGCGCTTTGAGGAAAACCAGTACACCAGGGGTCTGCTTTGGGAAGCAGCAAGTTCAGGATGTGCTCACCTGGTTTCCTTTCACATCCCCAAAATTTGAGGAGCTCAGTCAAAGGGCTAGCACGGTTGACCTTGACCACACATTCACCTTGACCCCTGGTCACTGGTCCAAAAGTGAAGCCTGATTATTTCAAGGTTAACATTTTCAAGATTCCAGGGACTGTTTCTAGATTCCCGGGAGTTATTTCTCTAGTCAAAGACAACTTAGGGCATCATAAGGAGAACATTTGATTGCAGAACAGGAAATTTCATAAAACTTCATCTGTTGTAGCGAAGGTTTCCTATGTACTCAGTTTTATGATTTATATTGACATTCTCTTTTTTTTAAGCTTTTGTTTTGGAACATCTTGGGAAAATAATATTTGTAGTTGCTCACACTGTAGGTTAAGCCCCCACTTTGCGGATAGTGTATTTGTGTGGCCTACATCAATTTCACACTAAAAAGCTTATAAGCATTTTTATTGACTGCTAGTGAATCCAGGTTTCTACCATGTGCCATGTGCTTTGTACTAGACAAATCTTGTGGCTTTTTGGTCAGGTGCATTTGAGTTGCATGGGGAGGTTACCGATTTTGATTTTTAAAATAGAGAGAAAGTTATAGACTTGTCACTTAACTCAGATTTTTATAATTGGCTAGCACTGGTATAAGGGGGACAGTCAGTGAGTCACACTGTCCTTCTCGGGGTGGTTTGATGTCAACCATGTGTTCCAGAGCCGGGGGTAGTGTACTTTGTGCTGGTCACCGCAGAAAACCACAGTGGAGTGAGCCGACCCGTTTACAGAGCTGAGAGCCCGCCCGGTAAGTCTGACCTGGCATGGGGCTGTGCTTTGTTACACAGAATGTGAGAAACACCCCTCCTGCTTCTTCAGGTCAGTGCCCATTAGAATTATTACAGAGCTCCCGAACAAGATTTGTCGAGCAAGGCGAGAACTATCTCTTTGTTTAAAGTAATTTCATGTAGGTTAGCAGCATGTTGTCCTTCATTTTCCATTAGGGGAAGCCATAAGCAAAAGACCAAAAATCTGCACCATCCATTCAGCCCAAGGGCCCAGCCACTGCTGTGGTCAGAACAAATCCTTGAAAAGACCAGTTCAGCATCTGTAGGAGAGTGACAGCGCACTAGGGGTTGGCAGGGTGGGGGCGGGGGTGGGAGGGAGAATAAGGTCCCAGATAGCACTTAGATTGTTTGAAAGATAAAGGGAATATTAAACAGTTTAGCAGTTGTCATCCTGGCTTGTACGGGAATCAGTTTGCTAAGATCCTGGGGTGGGGTTGGCGGGGGAGGACATGTGTCAATGTCACCACAGACAGGAAAAGCAGGAGACAGTAACAGAAAAGCAACAAGATAGGTTAAATAGGAAAAAATGCAAAAGGTAAACTTTTAGTAAGACAAGGATATTTAGTTTTGAGCATTTATCATGACATGAACCTAGAGTCTTTATATTAAACCCTTTTCCTTTGGAAAAAATAAATATGCCTTAGGGATGCTCTGAAATGTGGAAACTCCAATAGTCCTCATTTCTAACTATCAAGTTGCATTTTCCTAATTTAGGAGGTGAATGGATCGAGATTCATGGTTTTCCCATTAAGGGTCCAGGACCATTTAATGCAACCGTCACAGGTACTATTTGCTCATTGAGTTCGTGTCTTCACTGAAGCACCGTCTCGCAAGAGGGTTGTGCTTCTGTTACACACATGTGCTCACAACCTCCGTTAGTTCCCATCGCTAAACTAACCCACATGCCACCGTGTCGGGCGTCTGCTCTGCACCTGTGGCCAGCCAGTGTCGCTCATTCCTCATTGTTCTTTTATGTTCTGCCGTGGAAAGTGTCTGCGTGTGCATCTGGGGATGCTCTTGTGCCGTGAACAGGCAAATATGGTGGTGGAGATGGCAGTTTGGGCCTGCCAAGGGCACTCCTGGCTCTCACCTCTGGGTGGCATAAAAGAAGGGGAGCCACCAAAGAGTGGTTTTGATTGGCTGGTATGTTGCATCAAGTCTTGCTCACTCATCACCAACAAAGTATCCTGTAAGATGGCGGAGAGCCTGCCTCCATCTCTGCTCCATATTTGTCTATGTGTGTTTATCATTCGGATGTTGATGTTGTCTGGTCCTAATGTTTTCTGGAGAGAAGTGTTGACATTTCTTGTATGTTTCTTGAATATATTTAATTAATGTTGAAAAAGAATGCAAAATGAATGCAGTTGCTTAAGAGTGTGGTTGGGTGATACCCCAAATATGGCAGGGAGCTGTTTCATGGGAGTGACCATGTTTTTAAATGCATTAATCTGGTATCACTGTTGAGAGGAAGGTGAGTATGTTGAAACCAATGGCCATAACCTGCTTCTCCAATCTGATTTGATAGGTGTTGGCAGTTTTCAAAGTTCCTTTTATCTGAAAAGGGGGTGGAAAAACAAAGGGACAGAAAAGGAAAATGGTTTTCCAAGAAAGGTGATACGGTCTTGTTCAAATATCGGACTGGAGGGGACCTTTGGTTGTTGTAATGGAGATGCTTGTAGGTGACTGCAAGTTGGAAGAGAGAAGGAAGAGCTAGACAGGAATTTGGGAATCATGTTGTAGAGTGGGAGCCGAAGAAGAGAAAGAGCATTGAGTGGGCAAGAATGGGGAGATACGAGAGTAGAGGACCGAGACTCAAACTTGGAAGACGCTGATATAACATAGCTGGGAAGGTGTACACCTAGGAAATTTGCAAAATTGGAAAGGATGTTTATTTCAGAGGTTGTCTACCTCAAAGACACCATGTAACCATTCACAAACACACGTGCTTTGTATTTAAATCTTATATTTTGTGTTTTAAATAAGCATTTTATTTTTATAATCTTCTGGATAGTTGTCTGAATGACAGTAGTATAGAATAAGTTATTTTCTTAAGTAACTGCTTTTTATGCTATGCGGGGTGTGTGTGTGTGCATGCATGTGTGTGTGTGTATGTGTCCTACTGAGCAAGCACATGTTTCAGAAAACCTGGGAATCTAGGACAAGAGACTCATGCACTCCAACTCATTATTGGTGAGATCATTTAACCTCTTTCTGCAGGATCCCTTGTCGCTAAAATGCTGTAAGCAATACTATATTTGTCATATGATATAAAAAACTAGTGGAATAAATTGCTAGCTGAAACCATTTGCAACATATTAAATAGAACTTAAAAACAGAACAAAAAATGAATATCCAGAATGCATAGATTTGGTTGAAGTACTCCAGAAAAAAAAAAAAAAAACTACATTATGTTGTTAACCATAATGAGAAACTATCGTGAGTTTCAAGTATCAAGATGCAGTGATACCTTTTTTTATGAGGTCTGGAAAGTATGCTAAGCTTGCTCTGAGGAATGGTTAATATATGATAACCCTGTCAAAGAAGTATTCTTAATTCCACCTATTTTCATTCCCCCTATCTTTATCAGAAAGAATTTATCCTCCAAAAGCTGATACTAGTATTGGCACTTAGGGACTTCACTTTAGTGCTTTAACTGATAACATCTCACCTTCTTCCAGTGTTTTATTTGAAACCAGAGGAAAATCTATTCTTTTACTTTCCTCAAAACAGTAGCTTTAGTTCAAGTTTCAGAGGCCCCATTTTGCTGGCTAAGATCTGTCTAGACTTCATTGTCTTTACTTAAAAATAGTAATTATTGATTTCATTCACAGGTGTAGATGCTAGAGATAATAAGTTGGTGAATAAGATAGACAAGATTATAATCCAGTAGGAAGGAAAGTCAACACACAAGTAAGCAAGAAGTAATGCATGTAGTCTGTATTAGTCTGCTCTGGCTGCCATAGCAAAAAAAAAAATCCATAGTCTGGGTGACTTAAATAATAGAAATTAGTTTTCTCATAGCTCTGGAAACTGAAAGTCTAAGATCCAGGTATTGGCGCAGTTGGTTTCTCCTAAAGGGGTGGTGGATTGCAGGCCATCTTCTTACTGTGTCTTCTCTTACAGGGTCTTCTCTCTCTGTGGGCACATGATTGTTTCTCACTGTGTGTTCAAATTTTTCTCTATCTATAAGGGCTCCAGTCATGCTAGATTAGTGCCTTCCCTAATGGCCTCATTTAAAAGTTCCAAATTTCAAATACCTCACATTCTGAGGTAACTGGAGGTAGGAATTCAACATGTGATTTTTTTGGAAAACAATTCAATATAAAACATAATCATAAATTCTTTGAAAAATAAACAGATTTGTTATAGCACAGCCAGGGTGGGGAAGCCCAGGAGGTGCTGATAAGATGGTGGCCCCAGACCAAGACCAGGTGGAGACCCTCACACAGGAAGCTGTATGAGAAGAGGGAGACCATCCAGGCATCCTGGAGGCCTGCAGGACTTGAGTGATTCTGTGACTGGTCACTTGGCCAAATAGGAATACTCTAAGGATTCAAAAAATGATAGGAGTCAGCAAAAATGCATCTCTGAGGCAAAGTTTTGGCTTCCTCTTTGGGTAGCTTGTCACATATCTTTAGTTAGAAAGTTTCTTTGTATTTAAATATAAAATCCCTCCTGTTGGGAATGTAAACCCATCTCCCTTTGTTTTGCCCCCAGGGAAGAGATGTCACAAGGTTCACACATTGAAATCCTGTTATTTAGTTTCTCTGCTGACTTCTTTTCCTGAGATTGTTTCAGCTTTTCTCTGTGAAAATCTGGGGTGATCCAGTATCACAGAGCCAGGCAGTGGGAGTTGGACTAGGACCCAAATCTGTTTCCAAGCAGCCAAGGGACTCAAAGGAAGTTAATCTGCTTTTACTAGGGAAATTTTAGCTCTCAGTCGAGTCATGTATTTTTAATAGTCATGATTAAAAAAAACCTAGTCTTAAGCCACGGAGCCCAAAAACTAGACCATAGTACTGACATTAAAGCTTCGCTTAGGACACATATTTTCTTTATATTATATTTTAGTTCATGAAGCTTGTTCATTTTGGGTGGGGGGAGGTGAACAATTAAACCATAACTTCAACTCAAGTTCAGTGTAGAGTTTCACAGACCTCTGGCCGTTTTCAGCCAACACCAGCATGCTGCCTGAGGCCCTGCCCTGCGTCCCCGTCCTCATCAGGGTCACCCCGACCACTAGGTTGTTCCCTAAGTCCAAAGAGCACATGAGCACTGACTTCATAATATCCCTGTCCACACTGCTGTCCACATGTCAGCCTCCATGAGAAGGCCCGTGGGTATTCCCGCCTTATTGTATTGGTAATTGGAATAAAAATCACAGTAACAGTTAAACAAAGTTTATTAGATGATAAAAGTGAGCATTTAAACCCAGGAAGTAATCTCTTCCAGATTTTACTCTGCCAGAGAAGTATTCCATCAACTACAAGTTTGAGTTTAGAGTATAAGTAGGAACAGTGAATAATTGATGTCAAATAATTCTTGATGGAATTGAGGGTGGGTGGTCCTGGGTTTTATCTCTAGGCTTAGATCTTCCAGTTTCCTAAGTGTCTTGACCTAAAGATATGTTGATGCCATCTATGCGCAGAGGAGGGCAAATGCTGGCTTTAATCAATTTACAGATTTCTAAAGACTCAGGCGTGACCATCTGCACCTGCCACTCCACTTTGGCCTTCAGATTCTAGGCTGTGAAATGAGGGTCCCCGACAAGAAAGTTCTAAGCCCCTTCTAAGAACCTTCTCAGGTTCTACATTTCATTCTAAGATTGCAGGGTTCCTTTCAGCTTTGACCTTTCATGACTGTGACAACCGGGCCAATTCCACCACTGCTAATGAGTGGCCCTACATTTTGCAAGCAGTCGGAATTATTTGTATTCTTAAGAAATGGCTAATTTGCCTTTTTCTCCACCCTACTTTGAATGTGTTAGGTCAGGAAATCCAAAAATCATGTAAGTGAAGGAGAAAACACTGTGGTATAGTTTCTTCGCCTGAACACAAAGGCACACAATGATGGTCTCCAGGATGCACGTGAGGGTCCCACCATAGGCCCCGTCTGTGCAGTGGCAGGAATCCTGCCACAGGAGCCATGGAGACAGCACCTTAATTTATTTAAACTGCCCAGTGTCACGCGGGGTAAAAGTGCCAACATAGGGAAGCAAATCACTTAGAAGCCTCCTCAGATGACCCAGGCCATGGGCTATGGGCCTGCTGAGAACCAGACTCAAGTTTAAAGTGTACCCCAGTTCAAATGTTTAAAATTAATTTTGAATTTTAAGAATTAATTTTAAGATTAATTATGAATAAAAGATTCTCCTCTTCACATACTAGTTTCAAAGTCTTTGACCAATGAGGAGTTAATGTCTGTGATGTCATTTTCTCAGCAGATTTCTCAAACAATTATGAATTTTTAAAAACTTTTTAAAATATTTATTTGTTTATGCATACAAAAACTGGGATGTAGGCCAGAGGTGCAGGGGGTGAGAAGATTCACCAGAGACAGAATGGGGAGCAGAACAGGCGGATTGACTGAAATACACTGCTGAGGGGAGCAGCGGGCAAGACAAGAGATGTCTGCTGCACTGTGTGGGTCAGCATCCTGGCCGGGGATCGAACTTGTGCTGCAATGGCTATGGATATCTTCCTAGTGCTGAGACTTAACCCCTTGTGCCACCAGGGAGGCCCCAATTATGAACTTTTTTAAGAGCACAGTTTGCAGAGCAAAAC